ATCAATCAGCACCATTGCCCTAGGTGAGATAGCTTTAATAAAATAGCTAAATCTTCTCAACTAAGCAAAATCACCCAACAAAACATATATTTTTCTGAATGCAGAGATTATGCTTGATCCACCGGTGAAAAATACATATTTTTCTGAATGCAGAGATTCTGCTGATCGACTGGTGTGAATTTTAATAAAATAGCTATATCTTCTCAACTAAGCAATATTCGCCCTGCAAAATAATCAAATAGCATTAGCTCCTCAACTAAGCGAAATCGCCCGACAAGAATTAAATAGCTATATCTTCTCAACTAAGCAAAATCGCCCGACAAAATCAAATGGCTATAGCTCCTCAACTAAGCAAAATCGCACGACAAAATATATTATAGCTATAGCTCCTCAACTAAACGAAATCGCCCGACAAGACATAAATACTGAATCCAGAGATTCTGCTTGATCGATTGGTGTGAAGAAATTGATATGTTACTCGTGCAGAGATTCTGCTCGATCGATTGGTGTGAAGAAATTGATATGTTACTGCAGAGATTCTGCTCGATCGATTGGTGTGAAGAAATCAATATGTTACTGGAATTCTGCCCGATCTACTGGTGTGAAGAAATTGATATGTTACTGGTCAAAGCCTGCTCGATCGATTGGTGTGAAGAAATTGATATGTTACTTGTCAAAGCTCAGAGTACTGAGATTTGAACCCCTATAGCATGAGCCGCCCCCCCCCCTATAAAATAGCTATATCTCCTCATATGAACTCTTCTCTTCGCTTTGCATGCTTCTGCTATTCAGCTGGGAAGGGTGGAAAAGATCCGGTTGTTTTCTTTTTGGAGAATACTCTGTTAGCTTATCTTGTTTCTTTCGAATAGATTGAACTGCGCAAAATCAGAAACTTAAACTAATTATCTATGAAGCATAGAGTCCTTGTTCTATAGCTGATGTGAAGAATTAACACATCAGTTCTTGCCGTCAGCGACATTCCTACGTCATTACTCTAATTTGTAAACTTAGTCGCTCCTTAGGCTCATTGCTCTCACAATCAGTTCATCTCCCATTGCTGCTCTT